GCAGGAACATCTGGCAGCCAAACAGGCCTACAGTGTGCCTGCAGCGCCAGGACCAGCTGCCTCCTCCACGTTCCTCCGCTTCCGCACGGTGCCACGGCTCAGGGAACAGCAGAAGGGTGCGCAGCCAGACAGAAAATGCAGGCCCCACACTGACCAAGCCCGGCGTCTGGGTCAAGAAGGTGTCTGGCACCCTCCTTTTAAATGTCAGGCTGGCAGATTGGTGGCACTTCAGAAGGCATGGTGTTGGATGGGGGTCCCTGGTGGTGCGAGTGCAGGAGGGCCCAGTGGGCGGGCCGTGTGTCCAGGGCGCCGCCCAGCCTCTGTGCAGGCCCCTGCCTGCAGATGTGGCCTCAGCCCCTGGCGGATCCGCTCCTCAAAGTCCTCCAGGGGGTCCCCAAGCAACGCCGCTATCTACCTGCCCTGGACTCGGCCATGCAAAGGCTCTTGGAACTGACGCAAATGTGCGGGGCCCCGTGACATGTTCTGCTTCGGAGAGGGGCATTTTACCTTATGGCCCAAGCAGTTCGGGGGGGGGGGGGAACCCACAGGCGTCTGTGCTGTGTCTCCTCCACTAGAATGGGGCCAAGCAAGTCAGACCCGCTTGCCCAGTCTGCCCCAGAAAATGGGTGGGGGCCACCCCCTCTTCCACCCTCCCCCACCTCTCCACAGCCAATGCATAGCTGTGTTTCGGGCTCAGCTGCCACTCAGCTGGTTGGAGTTGAAAGGTCAAATGTCATCTGGAATTAGCAGCCTGGTTTAGCAGCCTCTCCCCTGTCTTCAGAGGGAGCAGGAGCAGCTGCCGAGGGCTTAGGCAAGGGAGAGCCGGAATTCCTTCTCCCCCAGGAGGGCAGCCTGGCCTGGCCTGAGCCTGCAGGTGGGGGCAGCTGGCATTTAAGGGCCAGCAAACAGAGGCAGGTGGGGAGTTATGAGCAGAAGGCAGGGAGAGCGAGGGGAGGGCCCACGCAAGGCCCAGCAGCACAGTGTCCCCCTCCCCCACCCCACCCCATCCCCGCCTGGGTTCCCGGTGGCCACTGGCTTTGCAAATGCCAGGAGAAAAACCTGCATCCAGTTATTGTCACCCAGACCGAAGTGGAACCCCTGCTTTTCTCAGAACCCCATTTCTTTGAGCTGAATGTCTCCAATCACAAAATCCTGGTGAATTCCCAAAAGGTGGGCACAGGCCCAGCGGATGAGCCCACGGGGCCGGGTCTATCACTTCCTGGGCAGGAGCTGCCGGGAGGGCTCTGGGCCTGTTCAGTCCGCTGTGCTGGAAGAACAGGATCTGGGGGTGCTGGCGGCCATTTCCAGCACACTGAGAACACCCCTGGAGAAGAGAAGGCCGACTTAGCCGGCAGGGCGTGGACGGCAGCGTTAGGTCTGATGAGTTAGTGCCAAGGCTGGATCCGCCCACTCTCGGGCCATCAGGACAGTCCCTTTCACTGTGTCCCTTCTTTCTTATGCCTCCAGATGGGGCTCAGAAAACGGGACAGGGAGCCCAGGAGGGAGTGTGGCTGGACAGAAAATGTGGACCCCTATCGTGACCAGGATGGGGCCACCTCCCTCCTTAATCCTTAAGTCGCATGTCGGTCACCTGCCACCATCAAAGCCCCATCACAGGCAGAGCTGGACGCGGAGACCCCCGGTGAGCGAAGGGCCTGTGAGCAGGCAGCTTCATCAGTTTCATCAGGGGAGGCAAACAGACGTGTTCCGCGTGGCCTGGGAAGGGAGTCTTTGCAGACCCTTACAAGCACACCTTGACCTGATTCGTGGGCGGGCTGGTAAGCGACTTCTCCACCCACACGGCAGATTGATTAGCGGGGTTCCTATCCGGCTGGAGGCGCCCCGTGAGAGCCTGCCCGGAGAGGCCGTGCTCCCACACCGAGTTGCAAGCACCCAGATGACTCTACCAGGCCCTCCCGGGGATGGAGAGGCAGTTCCATGGTTCCCCACACCCAAGCCTCACAGCCTACTCTGGTGGATGATCTAGAATCTTCTCCTGAAGGTGGCCTTGTGCTCGGGGCACGCTCGTCTTCTTGTCCCTGCTCGGAGAGGGCAGTAACGAAACACCGAGGCGTCCTGCCTTCAAACTCAGCCCATCTGTTCTTTGTGCTTGTCAGTCCAGCCTCCCCTAAGGCTTATTCTGAAATTGGGAGTGTTTCCCAAACCAACAGCTGCTCGGGCCAGAGTTTTCCTTGCCGATTTTTGCCACAGGAGGGACACAGAACACGAACAAACCAGCAATCTCTGCTCCTTGCCCTAGGAAGGGGGTTGCCTGGTCAGGCTGCTGTCACACTGCATTCACTCTGCCATTTCACTACACACGCTGAGCATTACCTGAAGACAGGGCAAGTTCCTCAGAGGTTGTTCCCTTCCTCCAGACAGATCTCTCTCAGCGCTGGAAGGAAGACAGACATGTTTCGTAATGATCAAACTGAAGCTTAGCCCAGGCTTACCCATTTATTTGCTTTTGACCTTGGATAAGTTCTATGTATCCATGAGCCTTCGTTTTGTTTTCCTGAGATGGTGACACTATCATGTTTAAGAGTGGTTCAGTTTCACATGACAGAGTTCTGAATAAGGTGGTGTAAAAGCCCTCTGCCCCCAGCACCCTCCCGCCCACACAGCCCAGCAGTCAGTAAGGCTGGGAGAAGTCTGTGGAATCATCGCCAGCTTCCTTCTGCTCCATGACAGCTGCCAGAGCTCCAGCTATCATGTTCCAGACCACAAGAGAAAGGAAGTACTTCCAACTCACCTTTCTAGTAGCCTTCCCAGAGCTCCACCACAAAGCTTCTGTGTGTATTTTATTGGAGAAAATTTTAGTCACATGGCAGTGTATCTGCAAGAGAGTCTGTGAAAGGCAGTCATGCTGGCTATTTTCAAATCCTTCTCTCCTAGTATTTACTCCTTTTATAATTCCCTCCCCTTGAGGGTGGGCTGGACCTATAACTTTTTCTAGCCAACAATAGATGGCAAGAGATTGGAAATGGGTCACACTTGGAATTAGATTTACAAAGAAAGGGTAGTTTCTAGGGTCCTCCCAGGTGGCACAACCTGTTAAAGTATAACACTATGAACTCATGCTGCTTTGGCACGAGTTCGATCCCCAGCCAGGGAGTGACCACAGAGCGCAGCAGACCTCTCCTATCTCCCCGCTGCTCCTCTCAGCAGTGTATTTCAGTAGATCCACCTGTCCTGCTCCCCACTCTGTCTCTGGTGAATCCTCTCACCACCCCTGCACCTCTGGCCTGTACCTCAGTTCTGTATGCAAATCTTAAAAAAAGAAGAATGGTGGCCGCTAGCAAGGCTGCCCACTCAGCTCTGCAGAAAACCAGCTGCCACGTTGTGATCTTCCCCAGGAGAGGTGTTTGCCAAGGAACTGGTGTCTCTGACAAAAGCTAGCAAAGACCGGAGCGCCTCCATCCAACAGCCCCTGACTGAACTGGAAGGAAACGCTGAGCCTTCGGATGACTGCAGCACAGGGGACGCCTTGACTGTAGCCTCCGAGAGACCTGATCCAAAACTCCCACTGACCTGCCACAGAGAAGCTGAGCTACTGAGCATTTTTGTCTCCAGAAACTAAGTTCTGGGCTTGCTTGTTACACAGCCAAGAGTCCCGTTTTCCAGGCGGACACCTTCCCAGTGTTCTGCTAGCAAGGAAGGGGGATGGAGAGAGGAGGGGCAGCCGCTGCCACTGCCCCCTGCACTAGTCCCCAGGACTGCTGTAGGGGGGCGTGACCTCAGTCCACAAGGAGCCCACGTACCATCTGCCAGGAAGTATCTGAAGAGACATGGGGGACGTGAGAGCCCATCAGCCTCTTCCCAGGCCTCACCAAGCGCATGGAAGAGACACGCCAAGCTGAGTGACTGTCAGCTTGCTCCAGCTCCCTGGCAGTTCTGACCCACATCCCCAAACCCAAGCAGCAGAACGACTCGTCCTGTAAAGCCAGCTCCCCAAACCGGCTCCCGGAGTCACTGAATGGTATGACTTGCCGGGAAGGCCTGATTAGATCCCCTCTAATCCAACCCTCCACCCCCATCTGTAATGAGACCCCAGACCCTTGTTCAAGGGCCTCCAGGAGGGATGAGACCTGGACCCTCCTGCTCCCCTAGACCCTCCTGCCTGGCTCTCTGCTCCCCCTTTTTCCTGTACTGTGACGAATCCAGGATATGTCTCTAGAGGGTCCAGTCCCAACCCTCCTTGAAGCTGGGTCACCTTGGCAAGGGTCTCTACACCCCTTCCCACTGTTGTGTCCCCCCTCACACTTCACCACTCGGCAGCCATAGCTTTGAAGAAGGTGGGCGCTCCTCCTGCTGAGTTTGGGTCTGCAACTTTGTGGGGAAGGGGACGAGAGGGAGAGGGCGTGCTAGGAGGCTGGTGGGAGAAAGGTCTTACAAATCTGACCTCCGTGACACCAGGGCACTCTGATCCCAGATCTACAAGCCCAGAGACCCCTCCCACTGTGGAAAGGCTGGAGACCCCCTAATGGTCACTCCTGGGGCTCCGCTCCTGCCCTGGGCACTGACTTACTAAGGCAGGTACAGTGAGCACTGAGGTCAAAAATTAATGTAAACCTGTAAACACCAGGCTTAGTGGCTTATCAGAGCTTTTGAGGGGTGCAATTCAGAGACAGCTACATGCAAGTCTCACTCACGAATTAAAAAGAGAAAACCAGAATCCTATGAAAATTTCTTTAATTTTCATTTTTTGGAAATACAGTTTTCATTTTTAGTTCCATGATACAAAAATGTTA